CAATGAGAGCAGCCAGACTGCCATTGTAAGTGTTTTAGCAAAGTATCTGTCCTCTGTGTGTAAATTAATTTATTGTCTAGGGTAAGTTCATATATCTCCTAATTCTTAAACTATAAAAACATATAAAATCATAATATTATATAAAATTTATATGATTCAATTTTTCTAACTCAATCTGTTTTATTAAGTATTTATTTTCAGAATAAGAAGTGGAATTTTTGTCCCTTTTGTGAAGCTAAATGGTCACTTGTGAGAGGTATTCTATTGTTACCACAATTGGATTTTGCCACTAAGTGGTTGGGAATGGACTAATAACTGAGCATATTGAGTACTGAGGCAAAGGGTTAGCACATTCAATATATGATCATATTTTATCACTAAAACTCTTTAACAGATAACCTACAGGATCATTTCAAGGAATTATATTGTTTAAATTTGTATTGAATTGCTATTGCTGAAAATTTTATCAGAGGTATTTCCATTTCTCTACCAGAGTTTCCTTGGAGATGAAGTAAAAATCCAATTTATATGATTTGAAAGCAGCTTCTGTAATATTCGTAATAAAGTTACTGGGACAGCATAGGTGCCTCTGAGGAAATTGCTGGCTCTTTTCATCAAGTTACCTCAAAGTGCTTAACATTCAATGCAATGCTCTTAAAATATAGGGAAATATATGAATATTAAGGGAAATGAGCATAGTGCAAGAAATTGGTGTTGAAATAGAAGATCAACTATGATCACATTGAATGGCAAAGTGGGTTCAAAAGGTTGACTGGCCTACTCCTACTCCTATTTTTTAATATTCTGTAAAATTGAATTTGCATACAATATGGTCCCATTGTAGTTGTGATATAAATAGTCTGATTTATGTACACTTTCAACATCATTTATTTTAGGTTTGATTTTGAATTTTGGGTTAGTAACCTATGGGTTTTTGTGTGTTTAAAGTTAATAAGAAGTTGTAAGTATTTCTGTAGCCATGATGATTTCTTCTAGATATTTTCTTTAAAAATGTGAAGGTAGCCTAATAGATTTGTGTTTGCTTTAGGATTTTTTGAACTGGCAACGTAGACTACTGTATCCCAGAGTTTTTGTTAGAAATTTCTGGGAGTCTTTTTTAAGCTGAAGGAAAACACACAGAGTAGAGAGAGAGGTTTTTACTTCCATTTTACTTTATTTTGCGTAGTACTGTCAAATCCTTGCATGGAGATGCACATATTGACCAGTGCTCCTGAGAAGGGGACAATGTAGATTACCTGAGGAAAAAGGAGTTAGTGATGCTTCTAGACCAGAAATGTTGAAGTAAATAAAAAACAAATTTGCTAGAAAAACTCAGCAGATTTGGCAGCGTCTTTGGAAAGAGAAAAACACATAATAGAAGAACTCAAAACATTAATTCCGTTTCTTTCTCCATATATGCTGCCAAATCTGTCGAGTTTCTCCAGCACATTCTGTTTTTATTTCAGATTTCTGGCATCTGTAGTATTTTGCTTTTATTTAAACTTATCAGACTTCAAGTAACTTCATACCCTATGAGATTCTTGATTGGGGCTGTCAACCTGGGCCAATCAGGGAGCCCTGGCTGACAGATATAAGCAGAAGATTCAGAGAGTCTTCTCATTGTAAGGACTGGCTGGTCAGAGCCCATGTACTGTGCACATGTAAATGAAAGGTGAATTAGTGATGGGATACCAGACTACGTGCAGTTATTTCAGTGACAGTATACCTTAGCTCTGCTGTGATCTACCGATTGTTGAGGTGTGTCAAGAATAAACTACAGGTGTCACTGGGTCGTGAGAAAATTCCATTCTGGAGTCTGTTCGCAATCTATTTGTGCTCAAGTTGGAACACAATGCAGGTTCTGAGGAAGGGTCACTGGACCCGAAACGTTAACTCTGTTTTTTCCTTCACAGATGCTGCCAGACCTGCTGGGCTTTTCCAGCAACTTTGTTTTTGTTCCTGATTTACAGCATCCGCAGTTCTTTCGGTTTTTATTTAATATAAAATAGTTGCTGGTAAGTATAGGAAATGTTCGAATGTCAGATATTTAAAATTTGGCCCCTGTATGGGATTCCGTTTGTAAGTATGAGTGTTCTTAAGTCAGCCATTTGTAAATTTGAGCCCTTCTAAATTAAAATCCACAGCCTGGTCACAAGTTCTGTTCTGTTTTACATCAACAATATCACATAATCGACTGGCCTGGGCTAATCGTCAGAAGATTGAGGGGGGATCTTATAGAAACATATAAAATTATGAAGGGAATAGATAAGATAGAAGTAGAGAGGATGTTTCCACTGGCAGGTGAAGCTAGGACAAGAGGGCATAGCCTCAAGATTAGAGGGAGCAGATTTAGGACTGAATTGAGAAGGAACTTCTTCACCCAGAGGATTGTTAATCTATGGAATTCCTTGCCCAGTGAAGTAGTTGACGCTACTTCAGTAAACGTTTTTAAAGATAAAGTAGATTTTTTTTGAACAATAAAGGAATTAAGGGATATGGTGAGAACGCGGGTAAGTGGATCTGAGTCCACGAAAAGATCAGCCATGATCTTATTGAATCGCGGAGCAGGCTCAAAGGGCCGGACGGCCTACTCCTGCTCCAAGTTCTTATGTTCTTATGTGGGTTCAAATCTTAACACTGTAGCTGGTGTTATTTAATTTTATGGGTGTTGTAGTGTTGTGTGCCTCCCTCAGAGCCAGAGACCCAGTTCAAATTCCACCTGGTCCAGAGGTATGTCGTAATATCTCTGAACAGTTTGATTAGCAAATATGTCAAGCTGCCACTCTGCACGTGGGCAAATTGATAAACAATTTAACATTAATCAATTTAGCCGCAATGAATCAGAACTGGGACTGTCACATTCACAACAAAATTGCAACTGAGACAGCGCAAAATTAACTCTCTGTTCTCGAAGCAGAATTTAAAATGTGGTGTAAAAAAAAGGACACTTGTTGTGGAAAGCATGTGGGCTGTGTAATTGAGAGAAAATAAAATCATGTTACCAGGAAATAAAGGGATACTTTTCATACCCTTTATTGCTGCAATACCTTCAGATTAAGTCGACTGAAACTACTTCATCTTACAGAACCAGAAAAAGCAGTTATCGTTCAGCAGTATTCTGGTAAGGAATCCCAGGTATTCATTTCTTCCTCCCAGGCATTAAAACCACAATCGCATTTATATGGGAGCCCCTTGTGAAACAGAGCATCCCATGGCACTACTCTGAAGTGTTGCTCAGCTAAAATTTGACACCGAGCCACCTAAGGAGATATTGGAAAGAGAGATGTCCGAAGTCTTGGTCAGGGACAAGGGCAGGGGTCGCTGGGGGAGCTGGACAGGTCTGGTGGCATCTGTGGAGGGAAATCGGAGTTAATGTTTTGGATCCAGTGGAGCCGACTTTTTGGCTGCGGTTTCCTCTCCACAGATGCTTCCGGACTTGCGGGGCTTTTCCAGCAATTTCTGTTTTTGGTCTTGGTCAAGGAGCTAGGGTTTAAGGATGATATAAAGACAAGGGAGGTACAGATGTCAAACTGTTCAGAGAGGAAATTCCAAAGTCTAGGGCCCAAGCAGCTGAAGGCTGACCAGTGGCGGTGTGGCTAGAAGCTGCCCATTACGGTATATCTAACACCAGCCATCACAATGGGCATCCGTTGACTTTTTCTATGCAGTTAACTGTTACATAGAATTTCTTTCTGTACAGCCCTACAACAAGAAACAGGGCTTTTGGCCCAATGCTCTGTTCGTATCCGTGTTTCACACACGTGTTGATGTGCCATTTCTTTCCATCCTCCCTCTAACACTTTATCAAGCCTCCCGCTAACTTTATCCCAGAACTGATGTAGTTAATCCTTTCATTACCCCACAACTCAAGAAACATTAACAAATCGGCGTGACATAATAGACGGAGAAAATCATAGGATTAGAAGTAGACCTTTAGCCCATTGAGCTCTGCTATTGAATAAAAAAGCGTTTGGAGAGATTATGGGCCAGGACCAGGCAGGTGGGACTAGTTTAGTTCAGGATTATGTTCGGCATGGGTTGGTTGGACCGAAGGGTCTGTTTCTGTGCTGGATGACTCTATGACTCTTAGTGTTGGGATAAAACCCTGAAGTCGACTTGAAGCTGAGTTTGTTTAAACTCATCTGTTTGAGAATAGGAATATGCTATTGGAGGTTCCAATATTGGAATTAAAGTCACAGATACATTAAATGTTCAAGAGAATGAGATTCCGGTGTAGTATTATGTAAGGAATGTTACTATTTTTAAACTCGCAACTAGTGATGGAGAATTTTCCACTTGATAAACATGTACTAAAAACAAAGGTGCACACTTGCCAAATTTGCTTAATGGATTTCTAACTCTCACCCTTCATTCCTAATCTTTATTGTGGGGGCCCCAATCTCGGAAGAGATACTCTGGGGTTGGCAAGACAGATGAAATTATTCTTTCAGCAATGGAAAACAAAGTTCAGTGCTTTGTGACTTGATTCATACCTCCCATGGGAGATGAAAATCCAGCCCTCAGTCAAGGTGAGATGATGGCTTAGTGTATTATTATATTGTTAATCCAGAGACCTGGATAATGTTCTGGAGACGTGGGTTTGAATCCTGTCACAGCATTTGGTGGAATTTAAATTCAATAAAAATCTGGAATTAATCGTCTAATGATCGCCTGAAACTGCTGTTGATTGTCGTAGAACTGCATCTGGTTCACAAATGCCCTTTAGAGAAGGAAACTGCCATCGTTACCTGGTTTAGCCGACATGTGACTCCAGATCCACAGCAATGTGGTTGATGTGGCTGGAGTCACTTAACAATGGATAATAAATACTGGCCTAGCCAATGATGCCTATGTCCCATGAATTAATATGAAAAACAATTATTCAAACTGACTATTTGGCTAAATTTATGAAAGAGAATTTCATCCTAGCCAATTATAGAGTGCTTCTTGTAATCCCATCCTTACATTTAGTTGATGAATGCAATCTGTTTGTGTTACAGTTACCTGGCTGACCAGTGCTGGAATGGCGGATGCATTTACCTGATCATGCTGCGTCGGATTAAACGCAAAGCTCCTCTTCCTCCTTCCAATGGCAGCAACAGTGAACTCAGGACAAGCAGTAGCAGCTCGGAGGCAAGTGGAAGTCCAACGCAGAATGGCAAACGGACTCGAAAGTTTGGTGTCATCTCTCGTTCTTCCCTCAATCGAGATAGCCAGGACAGTCGGGAGAGTCATAGCTCTGAGCAAGAGAATGGATATCATGTCTCCATGGAGGCAGAATGTTCAAAGGCTGAAGGGATTGACGCTCATTGTGACCCCAAAGACTCTGATGCAGCTGTTAACCAGATATCAGAAGAGCAAATTTCTAATGGAATCACTGCCCTATCGACAACACATCAAAGAACTCGACTCTCAGAAACTGGGAAGACAGACTCTAGACAGAGTGAACAGTCTACTCAGGTAACATACTTTTACAAGCAAGAGCAGAAATTGCTGAAGAAACACAGCAGGTCTGGCAGCATTTGTGGAGAGAAAACAGAGTTAACCTTTTGAGACCAGTAACTCTTCTGAACTGATAGTAGCTAGGAAAGGATGGTATTTATGCAGATGACAGAGATGAGGGAGGGAAAAGGAATGAGTGGATAAGTGGAGATGAAGTTCAGAGAGAGAAGGAAGAAAGGATAGACAGACAAAAAGATTGTTGATAGTAAACCAGGGAAGAAGAGAAGCTAAGTAGGTGATCTGCCTCAGTCGCATCTGTTCTGATGTTGCCACCTTCTGCAGAGGAGCCTCAGAAATGACTACCCTTTTCCTCAAACATGGATTCCCTGTGACTGTGATTGTTAGGGCCCTTAGCCATGTCTGTCCTATTTCCTGCACTTCTGCCCTCACCCGTTCTGTTTCCTCCTACAAGATCAATAGGGACCCCCGGTCCTCATTTTGTGCTCCAGCAACTCCACACCCAAGGGATCATAAGCCACCATTTCCGCCACCTCTAGTGGGATGCCAGGCGCGAGCTCCCTTATCAGCTTTCTGCAGGGACCATTCCTTCCAGGACATCCTGGTCCACCCCACCTCCACTCCCATGGCACCTTCTCATGCCATGGCAGAAAGTGTAACGCCTGCCCATTTATTTTCTTCCTCCTCACTACCCAGGGTCCCAGACACACCTTTCAGATCAAACTACAACTTACCTGCATTTCATTCAATCTAGACTACTCTATTTGCTGCTCACACAACATGGTCTCCTGTACCATGGAGAGATGAAACACAATTGGGCGACCATTTTGTAGAACATTCTGTCCGTAAAAATAAACCCTGAGTTTCCAGTTGCCTGTCACTTCAACACCCCACTGTTCCCGTCTGTCTTGGGCTTGCTGCAGTGCTGCAGCAACGCACAACGCAAGCTGAAAGAACAACATCTCATCTTCTGCTTGGGGACCTTACAGACTTCAAGACTCAACATAAAGTTTAACAGTTTTTAAAGCATGGACACTGACTTTCATATCTATTATCCACTCCCATACCCATTTTTTACTGCTAATAGCCCCCATTATCACCTGTCTAGCTTATCTTCTTCCCTGGCTGGCTTACTATCAACAATATTTTTGACTCCCAACCTTTTGTGTCTCTCTCTCTCAGGTCCATCTCCACCTTTCTCCTAGCTGCCATCAGTTCTGAAAAAGGATGACTGCACTTGAAACATTAACTGTTTTCTATCTACAGATGCTGCCAGACCAGTTGAGTTTCTCCAGCAATTTCTATTGCTGTTTGTTTCAGATCTCCAGCATCCACAGTTCTTTGTTTTAACTTACTTTAACACTCCCTTTTTGGAGATAATGTGTATTGGAAATAGAATGAAAAATATTGCTATCTTTAGCTTTTCACTGATGCCAAACGGTCTTTGGAGAGAAATACCTTAGCAGGAGTGAAGCTGTAACTCATTCCCATTTCAATTTCAAAATATATTTGAATCATGATTATACTTTTCTGCGTTCCATTGTTTTATCAGGACTTTTGTCCTCAATGATATCCATTTTCTCTGCTCTTGCTGCTGACCTATATATTTAAGCAGTGCCTCTTATTGCTGTTCTTCCCTTAAAATGGAAAGCCTTGGAATTAAATAGCAGCTGGATTAGGATTTTGTTTCCTTTATGCTTTCATGGGATATGGACATCACCATCAAGGCCAGCATTTTGGCACATACCTAATTACATTGAGATAACACAGTGTGGAGCTGGAGGAACACAGCAGGCCAGGCAGCATCAGAGGAGCAGGAAAGCTGACATTTTGGGTTGGCACCCTTCTTCAGAAATGGGGGAGAGGAAGGCGGCTCTGAAATAAATAGAGAGGGGGGAGTCGGGCTGGGGAAGGTAGGTGGGGTGGTGGGGATTGGTCAGTGAGGTGGGAGGAGTGGAGAGGTGGGAGAGAAGATGGGCAGGTCAGGGAGGTGGGGATAAGAGGGGCTGGGGAAGGTAGGTGGGATGGCGATAGGTGAGTGTAGGTAGGTAGTGGTGGGGATTGCTCAGTGAGGTGGGAGGAGCGGATAGTTGGGAGAGAAGATGGACAGGTCGAGGAGGTGTGGATGAGGGGGAGGGTTGGTCATGGGATGAGGCTGAGGGTGGGGAGACTTTAAAGCTAGTAAAGTCCACATTGAGACCATTGAGTTGTAGGCTTCCAAGGCAGAATATGAGGTGCTGCTCCTCCAGTTTCCGGGTAGCGTCGTTGTGATCTGGAGGAGGCCCAGGATGGACACCGTCCAGGGAGTGGGAGGCGGAGTTGAAGTGGTTCGCAGCTGGAAGGTGTTTTCGTTTGTCGCGAACCGAGCACCGGTACCCCACAGAGTGGTCTCTGAGTCTCCGCTTTGTCTCCCCGATGTAGAGGAGGCCACATCGGGAGCAGCGGATGCAATAGACCATGTTAGCAGATGTGCAGGTGAACATCTGTTTAATGTGGAAGGTTTTCTTGGGGTCTGGGATGGAGGTGGGGGTTGCGGTAGGTGTAGGGGCAGGTGTAGCACCTCCTGCGGTTGCAGGAAAAGGTGGTGGGGCTAGTGGGGAGTGTGGAGCAGATGAGGTGGATGCAGAGAGAGCGGTCCCTCCGGAAGGCAGATAAGGGTGGGGAGGGAAATATATCCTTCGTAGTGGGGTCAGATTGCAGGTGGCGGAGGATGATGCGTTGAATCTGGAGGTTAGTGGGGTGATACGTGAGGACAAGGGGGATTCTGTCTTTGTTTTTATTGTGGGGAGGGGGTGTGAGGGCAGAGGTGCGGGAAATGCAAGAGATGCGGTCGAGGGCGTTTTCGACCACTGTGGAGGGGAAGTTGCAGTCCTTGAAATACGAGGACATCTGGGATGTTCGGGAGTGGAACGCCTCATCTTGGGAGCAGACGCGGCGGAGGAATTGGGAGTAGGGGATTGCTTTCTTGCAGGAAGTGGGTGAGAAGAGGTGTAGTGTAGGTAGCTGTGGGAGTCGGTGGGCTTGAAATAGATATCAGTTTCAAGGTGGTCACCAGAGATCGAGACAAAGAGGTCCAGGAACGAGAGAGAGGTATCAGAGATGGTCCAGGTGAACTTGAGGTTGGGGTGAAAGGTATTAGCTCCTCCCACCTCACTGACCAATCCCCAACACCACCTACCTGCACTCACCTATCACGATCGCAAGTACCTTCCCCAGCCCAACCTCCGCCTCTCTTTATTTCAGAGCCCCCTTCCCCTCCCCCATTTTTGAAGAAGGGTCCCGACCCGAAACATCAGCTTTCCTGCTCCTCTGATGCTGCCTGGCCTGCTGTGTTCCTCCAGCAGAACACTGTGTTATCTCAGACCCCAGCATCGGCAGTTCTTGCTTTCTCCTAATTACTTTGAACTCAGGTATGTAGCCCTGTAGGGCATTCCAGGCCCACTAGTCTCACAGTCCCCTCAATAGGTTGTCAAAGTTCCAGGATTGTCCCAGCGTTTCTAGGAATTGTGGAGCAATCTCCTAATGTACACTGCTGCAAGAAACCTAGAAGAAACAGTCAGAGGAGAATTTTTAAAAAATGTGCTTTGGCTCATGCTTGCTGTGTATAAAAAGTGCCAAAGGATACATATTGTTGTTATGTGTCATGGAGACAAAAGTGCCATTTTATAATTCCAGAATTACACATATAGTGAAATATGTGTGCACATTTGGCTTGACCACTGCAGTGATGTGTTTAAATAGGAGAAAGGATCTCTCATTACAATGAATGAATCTTTAAAGAAAACATTTTCTCCCCGATAGCTGGCATTTTTGATAACATTCTCTCAGGACATGTTAAGGCAGTCTGAGGCATATTTTGCCAATGATAACTGAAAGTGTGTGCTATCCTCAGTTCACAATACCATTTCATCATTGAGACAAATAGCTGTTAATTCATTGCATGCTTGGTTGCGACTCATTATTTGAAACTGAACAACTGTTGCGTTTGCGTAAGGTTTTACCAGTTACTGTGGACATATTCCAGGATGTTACATCCCATGCATGACATCCTGCCTCCAAACTCCCCCATCCCCAATAACTGAAGTTTTTCAAAAAGTTATAAAGTAAATTATTTTCTTTTTAATTTTCCCATGAATTTTTCCACTGCTTGTCACATAGCAGTATCTATAAAATTTGTACTTAATTTCTGGAGACTCTAGGACACCCCTGGAGAGTTGGCAAATATAAGGTACCTGTAAATATCAGTACTTTCACAGCATTAACTTAAAAATAATAGTAATGTGGTTTGTCATGGCCAGAGTATCTTAACAAAATGTAAATGGCTGGCATACAAATCTGAAGGTTAGTTGATTCATTTTTGTCCACTTCTTTTCCAACAAGGAATGGACTCCCACAGTTTGTTGGAAATATGCTGATGATACCTTTGTCCCAATATTGGTCAAGCCCATTTCTTGGACCCCATCATGGCTCTGCCAATTTTCTGTCATTAGTCTCATAAGTGATGGGCCAGAGTTCAATGCTTCATAGGCTTATAATGAAACCCTGTTCACTCGGCATTCTGTGAATATGGATCCCTGCAGTTTTTGTTATTAATTTCTACTAGGCTTCCAGAAGGGATACAGCAAGATATTACATCGGATGTCGAATGCAGAAATGAGTCATTTGATCCATCTTGTCCATATTCCAGTGGAATATGAGGGGTATGAGTTGGCATGGGGATATAAAGGAGTCTCAAAGTGGAGTCAGCATTCTAGCCAGTCCACCTCAGCCCATGCCTGCCTCTGTGACTGCCTAGGATCTGCTCCCTGAGGGGGGTCCAACTCCATCTAATACCCATCATAATTGACCATGCATCCCCATGGTCGTCAAAATGGAAGGAAGGTAGGGAAGTTTTCTAAAATTTAAGATATGATGAGTAAGTAGGTGTAAGATGAGTATCTGGATTTTTTTCAATGAAATAAGGAACTTCCTTCCCTGATCCGTCTTGCAAAATGCAAATT